AGAGAGAGAGAGAGAGAGAGAGAGAGAGAGAGAGAGAGAGAGAGAGAGAGAGAATTAGTGCATTAGTGCAGAGGTTTAGGAATAGGAAGACGGTAGAATATGTAAGAAAAAGGACTGACTATGAATTGATAACTGTTGAGGTAAAGTGACAAGAGTTCAGTATTCTGTTATCTCTACTCTTTTATACATTGGGAAATAGTCATAGAAAAAATTATAAAATTGCAGGGAATAGTCACATGTCTTTAATCCCAATACTTAGGAAGTAGAGGCAGGTATATATCTGTGAGTTTAAGGCCAATTTGTTATAGTGAATCCCTGGACAGTCATAGCTACTTAATGAGACCCTATCTCAAATAAATAAAAATAAAATAAAATAAAATGCTTATATATGTATAGGATATTTCTGGAAATCTGGTAATAGTAATTGTATTTAGGAATAGGAACTAGGCCTGTAAGACAGGGAGGCAAAGTAAAGGCTTATTATTTGTTTTACAATTATAAAATCTAGTGTATAATAAATTAACTACTTTAGCAGCTTTTTTGTTTGTTTGTTTTATCTATTTTTTTTGTTTTGTTTTTGAGACAGGGTTTCACTGTGTAGCCCTGGCTGTCCTGGAACTTGCTTTGTAGGCCAAAGTGGGCTCAAACTAAGCGATCCACCTGCATCTGTCTCCTGAGTACTGGGATTAAAGGTGTGCACCACCACCTGGCTAATAGCCTTTTTAAGGAACACATAGTTACAGATATTTTCTCTGCTAAATATTATCATCAACATGTGTTGATCAACATGCTCTAGTACATTTTGCTTATACACTCACTGTTCTTGACCCTATATTATACCCTTCAGGTACCATTTTATTTCTGTAGTCTTCTTTATAGTCTTAAAAAGTTCTCATTTTAACTTATTTCCTCTCTCAAACATATCCCTTCCTCCTCATTCTACCTGAATATGGTTTCCCTACTTCCCTGAAAACCCGGGATCCTACACTTGTCTAAGTTGTCAATGAGCTACTAGTGTACAAAGGACCAGTCTACAGAGCTTTTATCTGATCTCTTGCATATTTATTAAAGATTTAAAATTGTTTTATCTGGCTGGCTTGGTGGTACACACCTTTAATCCCATATGAAAGCTTGAGACAGATTCCTGTGAGTTTGGGGCCAGCCTAGTCTAAATAGTGAGGAGATCCTATGTTAAATACACCTGTGTGTGTGTGTGTGTGTGTGTGTTCAAATGTCATAATTTGTTCTAGCTGGAGAATGGGAGGGGTATATGCCCTCTCCTACAAATATCATTATTTTTTCCTTTCTTTCTGTTTTTTCAAGACTAGATCTCATGTTTGTGGATTCAGTCAGTCCTTGTACCTCAGCCTCCCTAGTAGCTGGGATTATTGGCATGCACCACAATGGCTATGTTTGTGCCTCTCCATTCTTAATATCAAGGTGAATTAATACTATAAAATATTTTAATGGCCTCAACATAAAGCCAGCCACACTGAACCTTATAGAAGAGAAAGTGGGAAGTACACTTGAACGCATTGGCACAGGGAACCACTTCCTAAATATAACCCCAGCAGCACAGACACTGAGAGAAACAATTAATAAATGGAATCTCCTGAAACTGAAAAACTTCTGTAAAGCAAAGGACACGGTCGTCAACAAGACAAAACAACAGCCTACAGAATGGGAAAAGAGCTTCACTAACCCCACATCAGATAGAGGTCTGAACCCCAAAATATATAAAGAACTCAAGAAATTGGACACCAAAAGATCACATAATCCAATAAAAAAAATTGAGTAAAGACCTAAACAAAGAACTCTCAACAGAGGAATCTAAAATGTCTGAAAGACACTTAAGGAAATGTTCAACATCCTTAGTCTTCAGAGTAATGCAAATCAAAAGAACTCTGAGGTTCCATATTACACCTGTAAGAATGGCCAAGATCAAAAACACTGATGACAACTTATGCTGAAGAGGTTATGGGGAAAAGGGAACACTCCTGCATTGCTGGTGGGAATGCAAACTGGTACAACCTCTTTGGATGTCAGTGTGGCGATTTCTCAGAAAATTAGGAAACAACCTTCCTTAAGACCCAGTAATACCACTTTGGGGTATATATCCAAAGGATGCTCAAACGTGCCACAAGGGCATGTGCTCAACCATGTTCACAGCAGCTTTGTTTGTCATAGCCAGAACCTGGAAACAACCTAAATGGCCCTCTACCAAAAATGGAAGATGTGGTACATTTACACAATGGAGTACTACACAGCAGAAAAAAAATAACGACATCTTGAATTTTGCAGGAAAATGGATGGAGGTAGAAAACATTATTTTGAGTGAGGTAACCCAGACATAGAAAGACAATTATCACATGTACTCACTCATAGGTGGTTTTTAAACATAAAGCAAAGAAAGCCAGCTTACAAACCACAATCCCAGAGAACCTAGACAACAATGAGGACACTAAGAGAGACTTACATAGATCTAATCTACATGGGAAATAGAAAGTGGAAAAAGATAAGATCTCCTGAGTAAATTGGGAGCATGGGGACCTTGGGGGAGGGTTAAAGGGGGGAGGGGAGAGGCAGGGAGGGGAGCAGAGAAAAACATAGAGCTCAATAAATATCTATAAAAAAAGCAAAAAAATATTTTAATGGAAGGAAAGACACAGATGTGTACCAAGCCAATGAAGCTGACTTTATCTGACTTGTAAAATAGGGGGTTCACAACAGTTTTGAAAAGAAAGTATGTGCTGTGCTGAGGATGTTGCCCAGTTGGTAGAATGCTTGCCTAGCATGCGCTGAGCTCTAGACTTGACTCCTCAGAACTGCTTAAGATTGGGTATAGTGGCAAGTTTGAGGGCAGACTGCCATGGCAATCGCCGTTCAAATGACCATTACCTCCTCAGGGGACTGACTTTTGTCTTTAAAAAGACATGAGACCTTATCGTATACAAACATATATATTTATATATATGAAAGGTCTGCATCAATTTATACATTAATCAAACTGTTATCTTTGGTTACAGAAAAAATTGTATCTTCTTTATTGTTCGTGTAGTATTTAACTTACCAGCAGATACTAATTTTTATAACTTAAAAAAATTTAAATTATTAATTAAAAATCCAGGTATTTTCTTGTTTTACAGATGAAAAAAGTAGAGGAAGCAGGAAAGAAGTATTTGTTATGGTTATAGCACAGGCTTTGGATTAAGTCTTGGATTAATAAACCCTGTCTGTCCCACCAACTCTGTGACTCTGAGCAAGAGTCTAATCTAATTTTACTGATTTGTAAAACGGGAACCATAATAGCATCTGCCTAGTAGGCTTGTTTTGGAGATTAAATGCAAGTAAGGCATTTAACACAACGAGTGGCAATAATGATATAATAAACTTATTAGGGAAGTAAGAGTTTAATTAGGAATATTGAAGACTTTCCCAGCTTTCTTCCTTCTTAGACTCTCAGAAAGCAAGCTATGTGAGTCAAAGCCAGGCAGAGGCAGGGTTCAGCATCTCTCAGTATTTATTACCTTTAGGGCGAAGGCAAGGCCAGGGCTCTGAGCTTAGTATTTCACATATAGCCTCCGACTTTTAAAAGGGAACATCCAGATTGATCAAAGAGAGAGACTGGAGTTCTTGAGAACGGATGATGGAACAGGGGTGTCCTTTCCCAAGGCATCCCAACCTGGAAAAGTCCTCCTAAGTAACTGCCAAAATTAATGGCCCTTGTGCCTCCTCAGCAGCGCCCACCACCACCCTTGTCCTTCTCAACACTTCCCCTCTCTCACCAATATCCATTTCCTCTCACTAATGGAGACTTCTGTCAAACTCTGTCACTTGCCACAAGGGTCCCTTCCTGCCTATTAGTACTTCACACTCCTTTCCTTCAGTTTCTCATCCTCTGCCTCGGACTACCCTGTTATTTTGTTCTGCACCTCAGTGTAACCCTTCTGCCTCAGTTTCCCCTTTCTCCGCCTCAGGAACTGCTCCCCTGCTGTTCTCTTGCCTCCACCTCGGGCTCCCAAGGCTTCCACCAGTTTCCCTTCAGCCTCTAACCCACGCTCCCAACCCACAGCCTCGTGGTTCGGCCCTACCCGACTGCTCCAGGGTCAGCGCCCCCAGGCGGCGGAGGCCCTCCTCGTCCAGATCCCATTGCTCCGCCATTCGCGCCCGCCGCTCACCTGCCGCCGCTCGCGAGACCGCCCCGCGCTCGCCAGACCACGCCCCTCGCGCCAGGCCCCGCCCCTGCCCCGCCCACTAGTTGAGGACCTGGTCTCTCTAGAGATGCCGTTAGAGGACGGGTCACGTGCCTGTCCGCCTGCCACAGAAGTTAGGACTATGGTATGGAGCTTGTCCCTGAGAAGGGCGCCCAAACCACGGAGGTGGTCAATGGGGGAGTTGGTGCTCAGAATGAAGGCCTCGGGAATAGGGATCTGACTCGATGAGGGTCGGAAGGCGTCCCCAGTTTAGAACCTGGGAAGGGCGTGTATGAGTAACTGAGAGAACGTGCTGTCTTTAGCGGTGAACTGCTTGTTGTACAGCACTGAGGATTTGAGGGGCGTCAGGTTTGAGGGGTGAAGGAGGTTTGTCTCTTTGAAGAATGGAGGTCTTTGTACCTTAAAGCCCAGGTTCGTTCTAGACGTTGAGCAAGACTGGAGTGACCTGTAAAGGGGAAATCCACATCTGACAGTTTGAGGAGCGGGACAGATTTTGGAGGCCTGATGGGAACTCCTGAAGTTCGGAGAAACTTGACTCTGAGGAGATAAGTCCTGGCTTCAGGGCATTGAGGTTCTAACGTTCTAATTTGTTTTTGGAGAAGGTTGTATGGAAATGAGATGCTCTTTGGAATGGAGTTGAGATGACTGAAAACCATGCCACTTCTCGTAGTCGGTCTAGCAAAAAGCCATATTTTCAAGTACTACAGGTTCCCTAGCTGCTATGACCAGAGGCTCTTCCCCAGGTGTAACAGTTCTGATCAGTCTTTCGGGAAGAAAGCTCTGGGGAGAACAGTTACTTTCCTAACTTTGACCAGGAAGCGTTCCTTGAGAGTCCTCCTGTGGGTGACACGTGAAGCAAGTACTTGAACCAAGATCCTGTTCTTTAATAAGAACCCAGCCTCCAAGAAGCAGGTTTAGTTTAGCATTCAAGTATGCCAAAATTGGCATACACGCGTATCTCCGCTGAGCCTTCTGCTAGGTACCTTCAAAGAGAACAGGATGAAAATTGAATCCTTGTATATCTATGCTTTCTGATATAGGTGGGGTCCTTATTTACTCTCAGTTTATCATGTCCAGCCTCAACATTTAGAAGGCATGTAACTCAAAATGGCATCATTGGATTAGCTTTTCAGTTCTGCTTCTGAGTCATGAATCCATTTTATAATCTAAATTCTTTCTCTTCACGTCCGCCTAGAGCTTTTCTAGTCTTACAGTGGCATTTCAGAAAATTAGACAAGGTTTACTGTAGAAGAAATGCCCTTCTTCTTTATTATAAGGATTTATTCTTTTTCAGAATTAGAGACACAGATTTTTGGTGGAAGAGGAAAGTATTCCTTTCTTGAACAACCACCTTGTACTTTAATAGTTTTGTTCCCACTGCCACCATCATTCTTAGAGAATTTTAATTTTTTTAGTCAGTGTACAAGCTAGTGGGTTCCACTGTGACATTTTCAAATACATATATCATTCGACTTTGTTTGCCGTGCCTTTCTCCCCTTAAGCAATCCCACCCTCTGTTCTTTTTTTCTTTTTTTGTTATTTATTTATTTATTTATTGAGAAAGTAATTTCATTAAATTATAAAAGTTTCCATTTCCGCCCCTCCTCCCAACACCCTCCCACTTCCCCCACTCCCTCTCCTCCTCCCTCTTTGTCCCTAAGAGCAGTCAGGCTTTCCTGCCCTGTGGAAAGTTCAAGTTCCTCCCCCCTCCCTCCAGGTCCAGGAAGGTGAGTATCCAAACAGACTGGATCCCCAAAATCCAGTATATGCAGAGGAAACAAGTCCCAGTGTCATTGTCAATGGCTTTTCAGAAAGACTCCAGGCCAGCCACATTCAGAGAATCCGGCCACATTCAGAGAATCTGGTTGGATCATGTCCTCGTTCAGTCCCAGTCCAACTGGCCTTGGTGAACTCTCATTAGATCAGTCCCCTTGTATCAGTGGGTGATGGCGCCCATCGCAGTCCTGATTTCCTTTTTCATTTTCTTCCTCCTTCTGCTCCTCATTTGGACCTTGGGGGGCTCAGTCCGGTGCTCCAATGTGGGTCTCCGTCTGTATCGCCATCCATCATCGGATGAAGGTTCCCTCTGGTCTTGCCTTCTTTGCTCACGTTCTCTTTCCTTCTGCTTCTCATTTGGACCTAGGGAGTTAAGTCCAGTGTTCCAATGTGTGTCTCTGTCTTTATCTCCATCCATCGCCAGATGAAAGATCTATGGTGATAAGCAAAATATTCATCAGTATGGTTATGGGCCCCCACCCTCTGTTCTTATGTCCCATTACCCTCTCTTTTTCCCCTTCCTTTAGGCCTCTTCTCCTCTCATAGGCCCCTTTCAACTTTCATATCATATGTATATATGTACATATTTTATGTATGAAAGAAAACACGAACCTAGTTTGTTTATCTCCAGTTCCATCCATTTTCCTGCAAATATCAGAATGTCATTCTTTACAGCTGAATAAAATTCCCTTGTGTATATCTACTACATTATGTATTCATCTGTTGATGTGCTTTTAAGCTGGTTCCATATCTTGGCTATTGTGAATAGTGCAGTAATAATCATGGATATGCAAGTATATCTATGGCATGCTGATTTAGAATTCTTTAGTACATAGTGGTTAATTTTCATGGTCAACCTAACCAGAGTTGGAATTACTTAAGAGGCACTTTTCTAGGAATGTCTGTGAATATATTTCTAGAGAAATTTAGCCAAGGAAGAAGAGTCGCCTTGAATGCGGCAGCACCACCTCATGGTCTATGGTACCTGCCTGAATAAAACGGAGGCAGGAGCATCAGCGTGCTTCTGCTTTCTGATCTTCCCAGATGTGAGGAGTCCTAACTTTATGCTTCTGTTCCCAAGAACTCTATCACACCTCCTCTGCCATGCTGGGCTAAATGTTCTTAAACCCTAAGCCAAAACAAATCCTTCTTCAGTTGCTTTTATTATTATTAAATGTGTTTGGGTGGGTTCTGGGTGCACATGCCATGGCACACAGGTAGAGATCAGAGGACAGCTTTGTGGAATCAGTTCTTTCCTTTCAATTTGACATGGGTTCCATGGATTAAGCCCAGGTCACCAGGTTTGTGCAGCAAGTACCTTTGCCCACAGAGCCATCTGGTGGCCCCTTAAATTGCTTTATACAAATACAAAATATTTGGTCACAGCATCGAGAAAAATAACTGATACAAGGTATCTGCAAGTGGTACTAGTTGAGTGGTGTTTCTGTGTTTAGTGCTTTAGAACTCTTCATAATAAATTCCTGCAGAGGCAGCCCCCATTTAGAATTTGTTGTTGTTTTCTTCTTGTTATTGTAAAATTTAGTTTTATCACTTTTATGCTTTATGTCTGTATGCATATGAACATACACATACGTGTGTGGGTGCCATTGGAGGCCAGAAGAGGGTGCTTCATTCCCGAAAGCCTTAGTTACAGGTGGATGTGAGGTGCTCAATATGCGTACCAGGAAAGGAACTATAGTCCTCTGGAAGAGCAAAATGTGTTTTGTTTTTGTTTTAGTTTTTCAGACAAGGTTTCTTTCTGCTGGGATTAAAGGTGTGCAACACCACCACCCTATGAAACAAGTATTCTTAACCATTGAGCATCGCTTCAGCCCCAAATTTGTGTTGTTTTCTTGAAGGATAGTCATTCTGACTCGATGAGATGGACTTTCAGTGCAGTTTTAATTTGTATTTCTCTGATAGCTTAGGGTGTTGAGTACTTACTCAAAAGCTATTGGCTGCCTTATCTCACCCTTTGAGAACAGTCACTTCAATTCTATTTCTTTACCTGATGCCTTGCTTTTTAGGCATTTGAGATTTGGAGGGTTTTTTAAAATAAATTATTTTTAAAAAGAATTTTATGTATATATGTTAAGACAGGTATGTGGCACATGCCTTTGGGCTCAGTAATCAGAAGGGTGAGGCAGGCAGATCTCTAAGTTTGAGGCCAGTATGGTCTACAGATTGAGTTCTAGGCATGCAGGTAATGCACATATATATGTACAGGCAAAACTCATAACTTTTATGTTATTATTATTGTTTTGTTTTTTGCAAAATCTTGGCTCTCACTATATATCCCTGACTAGCCTGGAACTCATAGAGAAAAGAGATAAGAAATCCATCTGCCTCTGTCTCCTGAGAGCTGGGATTAAAAGCATACATCACCATGTATGGCTTATTTACCGTTTGTGTGTGTGTGTGTGTGTGTGTGTGTGTGTTTTGTGGTTTTTCGAGATAGGGTTTCTGTGTTCTGGCATCTGCTTTGTAGACTAGGATGACCTTGAACTCACAGAGATCTGCCTGTCCCCCTGTACCCTGGGTGCTGGGATTAAAGGTGTGTGCCACTACTGCCTGACTGATTTACCATTTCAATAAGTATAATTCAGTGATCTTGTGTTTTCTGAGTTGTGCAACCACAACCACAACTGTGGAATGTTTTTATCTTCTTTAAAGAAATTCATACTCCTTCTTAGTCTCATAGCCCTAACATAACATTAATCTACTTTATGTCTCTGCAAATTTGCCTTTTCCTCACATTGTCTGCTTTGTTTTTCTTAGCATAATGTTTCAAGGTCAATCCATGTTGTAACATGTATCATTACTTCATTCATTTTTATTAATAACCATTCAATGAGTCAGACCAGGCAGAAAAAAAATGTCTTTAATTCCAGCAATTGGGAGGAGAGACAGGTGAAACTCTGTGAGTTCAAGGCCAGCCTGATCTACATAGTAAGTTCCATGCCAGCCAGGGCTCCAAACCTGTCTTAAACAAAACAAACAAAACTACCAAAATAGTTTCAGTGTATGGATATATTCCACTTTGTTCATTTACCAGTTGATAGACAAATTCAACTTAACATAGATACAAAGATTTATTTCTAGGCCCCAGTTCTATACTATGTATGTATGTATGTATATATATATATGTATATATATATGACTGTCTTTATACCAATAGTACAATGTCTTAATTAAAA